GAGAGAACAAAAATGTGAATCAAAAAATTTTGGCAGTTTGTACAGAACTGGTATTATATTTCCTCCTCTTGGGATCTTGGGCACGCATGCACATGTGCCCGGCGTGAGTTTTAGCCACCAGGTCCGGGACGTGAACCATGGTCGACTACATGGGAGTCCAGTGACATAGCCATTATGCTAACTGCTAGTCCGTCATGTCTCATTCTTGATAATTTGTGTCTTTTCTCTTTTCTCCCCCACTAGTGTGGGTAATAGTTCCTCAATTTTATTGACTGTCTCAAAAAAACTTTTGTTTTTCTCATTTCAATTACATTGATTTCAATTCTAATCTTCATTATTTCCTGTCCTCCACTTATTTTGGACCTCAATTGCTCTTATTCTGGTAATTAATTGAAGATGGAAGCTGACTTCCTTTCTTGTCTAACATAGGTATTTATACTACTACTTTTCAAGAATTGGTCCCAATTCACCCTGCAAATTTTGAAATGTTGTCATTTATTTTTCATTCAATTATAATTTTCCCCATTTGATTTTTTTCTTTGACCCATGAGATATTTACAAGTGTTTCCAAATACATGGGGCTGTTCTAGACATCTTTTATGATTGATTTCTAATATAATTTCATCATGAATAACATTTTATATTTTACATGTATTGACATTTGGTTAATAAGTCCAGATTATAATCAATCATACTAAATATACTGGGTTCATTAGAAAAATATTTGCATTCTGCTATTGTCGGATGGAATGTCCAATAGAAGACAATGAGGTCAAGTTGGTTGATGGTTTTGTTCAAGTCTTCCATTGCCTTACTGATTTTGTGACTTGCTTTATTAATTATTGATGAGTGTTGTAACTTCCTATCATCATAAATCTATTTTTCTTTATAGTTTTATCAGTTTTTGCTTCACATATTTTACATTTCCATTTTTAGGAGCAACTGTTTCGTACTGTTTAATCCGCTTGATAAACTGACCCCTTTATCATTATGAAATGGTCCTCCTTATCTCTGGAATGCTTTTTCTTCTCAAGTCTGTTTTCTCAGATATTAATATACCCCCTCTAGTGTTCTCTTGCTTAGTGTTAGTACAATAGATAAGTTTTCATCTCTTTATTTTTAAGCTTTACATTTCAAGTGAGCTTCCTGTAGGCAACAGAGTTGGGTCCTAATCTTTTGTTTAGTTTTTTAGGCGGAGTCTCACTATATTGCAATCCTACTGCCTCAGCCTCCTTAGTAGCTGGGAATACTGACGTGCACCACTGTGTCCAGCTTTGTAAGATGAGTGGGAATTCAACTGTGCCTCCCATGTGGCCTCAACCTGCCAAGTTACATCATCAACCAATACAAGCTATTGTGGCTGGGCCAGGTCCTACTTTTTCATTCTATCTGACATTTGTCTTTTAATAAGTTGTTGAGATTTCATATATAATTAAATACGAATATGACTGGGTATTGTCAGATGTTTTCTGCATGTCTATTTTGATGTACTCTTTTATTCCTTTTTTTTTTTTTTTTTGACAGAGGGTACGTGCACTCACAGAGAGAGACAGAGAGGGAAAGGGAAAAAGCACCCAAATAGGACAGATTATGCCACAATCCTTTCTCTTTCATTTCTCTATTCTCCTGAGAGTTTAGGAAAGCAGCCGCATGTACCTGGCATGTCTTTCATGCCCCCCAGAGCAGGGATTCAAACCCTGCTGTCAGCCATGTGGAATCTGGCTCTTTACTTTTTTCAGATTCTTGTGACAGGACACATGCCATTGCCAGAGAGAGAGACAAAAAGAAAGAGACAGAGGAAAAGTAAGAAATCACCCCTTAGGAGGGATGGCCATGCTGCAATCACCTTTCCTCTATTCTCCTCTCAGGATTTTGGGCATGCACACACACATACACACACACAAACACGTCTGAGTTGATTTTCAAGCTACTGAGTCTAGGATTTGAACCATGAAGTTAGCCATATGGGATCCAGTACCTTAGCCACCATGCCACCTGCTGGCTCAGGATCCGGTTCCTTTTAACCACTGGGCCACAGAGCTGGCCCTTATCTTTTGAAATAAATATTCTTTTTATGATTTCATTTTTAGCTCCTTTTCAGCTACAATTCTTCATTATGTTCTCTTTGTTGTGTGCTTTATGGTATATTAAACACATTTTTAACATATCGTCTATTTTTAATTGATATTATACCACTTCAGATACAGTATAAGAATGTTTCAACAACATATTTTCATTTCATTCACTATTGGTTTATCAATGTGATATTGTTGTCATTGATTTTTAACTGTACAATATTATGAACTCCAAAATTCATTGTTATAATTTTTGCTTTAAGCGGTCAATTATCTTTTGAAAAGACTTTAATAAAAAGTATCTTGTATTTACTAACACAGTATTTCTGGTGCTTGCATTCCTTTGTGCACATCCGGATTTCCATTGGATACTATTTTTTTCTGCTTAAATAATTTCCTTCAAATTCTCTTGTAGAGCAAATCAGCTGGTGGTAAATTCTTTCAGCTTTGATATAGCTGAAACGTCTTACTTACTTTTATCTTCATTTTTTGAAAAATATTTTGCTCAGCATAGAATTCTTCTTTTTTAAAGAATAATTTTATTTTAACTTTATTTATTTATTTACTTATTTTAATTTGACCAGAGAGGGACAGTGTGAGTGATACAGAGAGAGAGAGAAAAAGGGGAAAGTGAGAAAGCAAGCCAAGGTCCGGGACTCGAACTACAGTCGGGTATGTGGGAGTCCAGCACCCTTAACCACTATAACACCTGCCAGCCCCATCAGCATAGAATTCTAAGATGGCATTGTTTGGTTTGGTTTGGTTTGGTTTGGTGTGTATTTTAAAGACACGCCTCCACTGGGGCAAGCAGGTAGTATAGTGGTTAAGGTGCTGGACTGCAACATGGCTGACCATGGTTCAAGTCCCAGACCTGGCAGCTTGAATAACACACTCTGTCTCTTGCCTCTGGCAAGGGTATATGTCCTATGGTAAAAACATTTAAAAAATAAAGAAAGAAACATAAAAACAATATCCTGGCCCACAAGGCATAAAATCAACTTAATCACAGAATAACATCAGGCAGACACAAAACGAGGACTGTTCTTCAAAAACAAAAACACAACAGTGAGGGGTGGGCTATATTCTTCAAAAATCAATATTACCGAAAGGTGAAAATAAAAAGGGTTACAGAGACATCCCTGATTAAAGGAAACTAAAGAAACTCCCATGCTAAGAGAAGAAAGATAGTACTAAGGAGATTGTTAGATCAAATGACAACGCTGGAACATAGACAGTAGGTTGGACAAAAACATAGTAGCAAGAGGACAAATGGGGTAAAATGTTAAGAATAAGTGAATCGGGATAAAGGGAATACAGTTACTGTCTGTACTGTTTATATTTTGGACTTTCTATAAGATTTAAGTTATTTCTAGAAAAAAGTCTTTAAGAGTTTTTGCCATAGGGTGAGTGCACTCACCAGAGAGAGAGAGGGAAAGTGAGCAGGGATGGCCACACTGAAATCCCTTTTCCTCCATTGTCCTCTCAGCATTTCGGGCACACACATGCATCCAGTGTGATTTTCAAGGATTTGAACCATAGTTGGCCATGTGGGAGTCCAGTGCCTTAACCACCATGCCACCTGCTGGCCTCAAAATGGTCATTTTTAAAAAGCCAATGCATCATCTCTGGATCTTATCCCCTCACACAATAGGTTTATTTTCTCTCTTTGTCATCTTTGTTTTTTCTCTTTATTAGATCACTTTGCTAAGCTTAGACACAGGTTCTTCCATTTTGATTCACAGCCACTCTGGACTTCCTGAAAGACTAATCTACTCACACTGTCACACCGTATCACTTTCCGTTTATCTTCAACCCACTCCAGCCTGGGATCTGCCCTCTCTTCACACTGAAATTCCTCTCACTAAAGTCACCAAACACCTCCAGGTTGCCAAATCCCATGGACACTCTTCATTTCTTACACTACTCTGCCTTTCAGCAGCATTTGACAGTGCTGACCACACCCTCTTCGTTGAAGTATCTACTTTTCCTACCTTTTGATCAAACACACAAGCTTTTCCTTCTGCCCCCTGCTACTCCTAAATCTCCTTTGCCATTTCATTCTCTTCCCTTGACTTCTAATGACTACAGTTCCTAAGGTTCTGGGTCCACCCCACCTCTTTAGGTAGTCTCATCCATCCATTTGGTGTTTAAAAATATCTACCCACTGGAACCAGCAGTTAGCGTAATGGCTATGTCGCTGGACTCCCACGTAGTCGACCGCAGTTCGTGTCCCGGACCCGGAGGCTTAAAACTCACGCCGGGTGCGTGTGCGTGCGTGCCCAAGATCCCGAGAGGAGAATGGAGGAGAAGGGATTGTGGCGTGACCATCCCCCCGGGGGGTGATTTCTTGCTTTCTGTCTCTATGTCCCTCTCTGTCTGTCTGGCGAGCACACGCGCCCTACAGTGAAAATCTCTCCGAAAAAAAGAAAAAAATATATCTACCCACTGATTACTCCCAAATTTTGTTTCTTCAGCCCAGAGCTTTCCTCTGAATTCTGTATTCATACAGCTCAACTGCTCTGACACAGTGGCTTGAACCTTCTCAGATCTAACATGTCCAAACTGAGCTCTTGGTCTCCCCTGACCCTTCATATCCTCCCCAGTCTTCCCATCCGGGTAAGTATCATTTCCACTCAGCGAGCTGCTCAAGTCAGAAGGCCCAGAATCAGACTCCGGATGTTGGAATTTTGAGTGACATTTTTTCCTTACGCTTTTCAACACTTTGAGAATTTCCTACAATAAACATATCATGCCTAAAAATAAATTAATCAAAATGAAAAGAAACAAAACCTCTTTTTAAAAAATAATGAAAAACAAAACAAAGATATGAGTAAGCATAATACCTTATCATCTCTATGTTCTTAATTCTTGTTTTACGAGTATGCAAATAAGGGTACTAAAAATTAATATGAACTTTGATATTACCGGAAGCATTTGGATTTATTGAAGACATCGCAGAATCCACTTCTATCTGGAAAGGAGGAAAAAAAATAACATGACATGCCATTTTATCAAACTTTTTACAGTGAAAGTTCTTAATTCCCAGATGGTGGGAAGGATGGATTTTATGAAAAAACAACTTTGTTGAACTCAGGAAACAAATAGTGTCAAACAACAGTCATTTTGTTTTTCCGTCGCTGAGATACCAGATGCTAATCTGCCCAGTGGCTACCAAAACTTTATTCCACTGACCAAAACATTTTAAGCATATAAAATCAATTTGGCTAGCCCACATGCAACATAATCTAAAAGGTAACCTTTCTGCTTTAGACAAATACAGCAATTATTACAATACATTTTAAAATTTTAAATGTATTTATTTTATATTATTCATTGTACATCATCATTACAGCATACAAAATGAGTTTTCTCATCCAGAATACACTATCAGCTCAATCAAAGACATTACTATACATGTTATCTTCCACAAACAATGCTCCACTTCTTGTTTCTTATATATTTTACTTCTCTTTTTTCCTTCCTTGATTCCCTACCTCTCACCCTCTGCAATTTACCACCCTCCTCCCACACTGTCTCTGCTAACAATTGCTTTCCATGTTTTTTTCCCCCCACATTTCATTGATTCACAAAAGATCTTAATTAAACTAAATATTTTCAATAGTAAGTACATTTAATATAAAGATATCTGTGAACATATGTCTGCTTTAGGCATAAAACTCAGTGAGTAGAATGAACATACTATAAAGTAGCACCTAGTTGAGGCTATATAGCTTACTGCAATAAGTAGGGTTTTTTTTTTTTGGAGAGATTTTCACTGTAGGGGGCGTGCGCTCGCCAGACAGACAGAGAGAGACATAGAGACAGAAAGCGAGAAATCACCCCCCAGGGGGGATGGTCACGCCGCAATCCCTTCTCCTCCATTCTCCTCTCGGGATCTTGGGCACGCACGCGCACGCGCCCGGCGTGAGTTTTAAGCCACCGGGTCCGGGACACGAACTGCGGTCGACTACGTGGGAGTCCAGCGACATAGCCATTACGCTAACTGCTGGTTCCCTTGGTTCGGTTTTTATGTATTTGTTTATTTTTAATTTCAAGGAAAGCAGTTTTAGCTTTAATAAATCAAAATAAAAAAAATGTTAAGAAAAACTTGCTTAAGACTTAAAGCCAGGAAAATGGTTAGGGTTCTGTTCAAACAGTAGGTAGATATTAAGAAGTCAAGAAACAGATAGGAACAAAGCTAAGACTTAGTAACAAGTACATTGTAATTTTCTTCTGAAACTTTTTTTTCTCTCTCCATTCTCCATCCCCCTTTTACCAAAGAGAGGCATAAACTAACTTATTTGCAAAATAAAATTATGTTTAGTCTTAATTTGGTCTGTTATTTGCACAACGCCCTATAAGAATACTCATTGATTTACTTGGCTTTGCTGGAAGCTTTTATAAGGAACTTCAGGTTAAACTCTAAAAAGTCTTTGGGGCCAGCAGATGGCATGGTGGTTAAAGGTGCTGGATTCCCACATGGCCAACCACGGTTCTGTCTCTGGTCAAATTTTAAAACATAATAAAATGAAATAAAAAAAAAAAAAATTCTTAAAAAAAAAAAAAAAAAAAAAAGAGCCTTCCACAGCTACTGAGCCAAGTCAGGACATTTCTTTCATTTTAAAATTTATTTTCTAATTTTCAGGATTTGTGTGTGTTTGTTTGTTTGCTTTTAGTGTTTTTGCCTTAGGACACATGCCCCTGCCAGAGAAAGACAAAGAGAGAGAGAAAGTGAGAAATCGCCCCCTAGGTGTATGCCCATGCTGGAATCTTTTCTCCTTCATTCTCCTCTCAGGATTTTGGACATGCACTCACAGTACCCAACCGCAGATTGGTACTTAAACTGCAAGTCGGCCATGTCAGATCCAGCCCCCTTAACCACTGCATCACTTACTAGCCCTAATGGTTAATGTTGCAATTTTTTGTTAATTTTTTTACCTGATTATAAAAGTTACACATATTGAAAACATAAAAAAAAAAATTAAAAAAAATTTTAAACACCTATCCAATAAAACCAATGTTAACATTTTGGTCTAGTCTAGCTTCTTCTCTAAGCATTTTTCAAAATGTTGAGAGTACATGTATATAAAGTTTGAACTTGCTTTTACTAAATATTAAAATATAACCATTTCCTATGTTGTTACAAGGGCTTTATAAAAACAATGGAAATTATGAGTCGGCAGGTGGCGTGGAGATTAGAGGTGCTGGATTCCCACATGGCTGACTGTGGTTTGAGCCCCGGACCTGGCAGCTTGCTTTCTCCATTTTCCAATCTCCCTCTCTCTCCCTCTCTCTCTCTGGTCAAATTAAAAATAATAACAAATGGAACTAAATAAATAAATTATTTTTTAAAAATGGGAATTAGAACCGTGGCAGCACCTGACATAATTTCTCCACCCTTGATCTTTGAACTCTCCACAATCTTTGATTTCCCTGCACTTTCCTGGTTCCCCTGGTCCCTCTAAGTGACTCCTATACCATCTTTGTCATGGAGTCCCCTGCCCACCCTTACATGCTGGCTTCCCTGACGGTCTATCCTCAGACTACTGCTCTTCATACTCTACATACTCTTCTTGGGCAAGGCCATCCAGCCCATCCAAACTGTCAACCCAGGCCTCCCAAATCTCTATCCATCAATTGCAGATTTCTGTATTTAAGGGAGGCAATGAAACCTGAGAGCAGATTTTCACCACCATAACCTCAACAGCCAGCACAGTATGGAATAAGTACTGCGAATTCACTGAAATGCCCCTACTCAGCTCAAACTCACTGGGTCCCAATCTGAACTCACTGACTTCCCCTGTAGTTACTCCTGAATGTCTTCTTTATTGTTGCCATCACTATTCCTTCAGTCATGGGGGTCACATCACTCTTACCATCATCTACCCCATCCAGTCAACAATCGTAACTTGTCCAATACTAGACACTTCCTATCAGAGCAGTGCAGCTTCTCTAAATGACATCCACACTCCAATTACAGCTGCTGCTAGAACTAGGCCCTCCTTCTTTGTCCTCATTACTTTCCAATTTTAAATCTCTTCTCTATTTTGGTATTTATCATGGTTTTATAAATCTCTGTACACTAAACTGTGGGCCACTTCAAAGAAGAGACTCATACCTCTAGCAACTAGTGAGTGTTTCTTTCATTAAGTAGGAGCCCTTAATAAATTTCATGGTGCACACAACTGCATGAGTGTATAAATGATTTATTATGTAAGTGCTTTACTGCTCCATGACCTGAAGTCAGTAAATACTTTATTTGCTCAAAAAACAATCTTCAAAAATCAGACTCCAAACCTCAGCCTAGTATAAAAGTAAAAATTGGTTAAACGGCACAGAAGGTATACAGCAATTGTCCCTTATTTAATAAAAGTTCATTGTACAAATGACTAGTAGATATACTAGTGATTTTCTAGTTTAGTACTTCACTGTATTTAATCTGCTTAAAAAATAAAAATCTAAAACATCAACTCAGAATGAAAAGTAAAAATCGGTGAAATTTCACGGAGTATGGCATGTACCATACACTGCACCTGTCATCACATCTCTTGCTTATGTTCTAAAATGAAAACCAAATACATAAACTGGCTCAAGGTGATAAAGGCAAAATAAGACTTCTTTCCAGGGGAGCGCAGGTTAAATGCCATGCTTCAAAGCCTAGTCTCTCGACCTGCTTTAGAATTTGAGCTGAAATGGCAGGTTACCAGGACAGCTGCAGTGTTGGAAAGCTAGCTCCTACGACCTCTTTGACCTTTGTAACTGACCTCTTAGTAACTAAGAATCCCCTGTGCCTGCAACCTATCTGGGTCAACAGAACATATTTGCTATCAAGTTGTGGGGTGCTTGCGCACACTGGAAAAGTGAGCAGCAGGACACCAGAGGGTCCCTGGCTTTGTTGGATCGCAGTCTGGCACTCAGATAGACCCCATGTGCACACAGCAGCTGGGCCACAGCTGACTCCAAACCACGGGCTCTAATGAGGGAACGAGGCAGGGCGTTCCGGGCAGAGCCCAGTGTGCTCCCTTTTCTTGAAGGCAAATGGAAATTCTTGAATATAGACAATATCTTGACCCTGACTAATTCCAGTTCAGCAGCTTAATAAGAGAGCCATCTCTGGAATGGATGAAATAGGCAGGGGAACACCCAAAAATGGGTGAACCTGTTTTGCTCAAGTTCATTAAGCCTCGATTCAACTCTCATAACAGGTGCAAACTTTTTTTTTTTTGAGAGAGGTTCTTGTTATAGGGCACATGTACTCACCAGAGACAGAGAGTTAGAAAGCAAGAAATCACCCCCCCAGGGGGGATGGCCACCCCGCAATCCCTTCTCCTCCATTCTCCTCTCGAGATCTTGGGCACACATGCACACGTGCCCGACATGAGTTTAAGCCACCGGGTCCAGGACTCAAACCATGGTTGACTACATGGGAGTCCAGCAACATAGCCATTACACTAACTGCTGGTCCCAGGTGCAATCTTTTCAGGAAAGCAATAACCAACAAAATTTCAAATGCACATATCCCATTACCTAGTAATTATACTTCTAGAAACTTATTCCACAGACATATGCATATATATATATATATATATATATAGTGTATTTACATATCAAAGGATGCTCATTGCAGCAATATTTGTAGGAACGAAAAATAAGGGAAACAACCTAAATAACTAAAAATCAAAACTTGGTTAAACAGAATATTAAGCAACTTTTTAAAATGTTCTAGCAGTATATGCTTTTAAGTTGACCTACTGTTAGGTGAGAAACGCGATAAAAATGAAATAGAAATAGCATGCCGCCCACTCATGTTTTCAACAGAAGGCTGTGCAGATATCTGTTTGTTGTAGATAAGAAATTTTGGAACAATACACAAGGAACTTCATCATAATAACCTCTGAAGAGAGGGAACCTCTGGTAGGAGGAGTAAGATTAAATTTTCCTGACAGTTTTAGTTTTTTGACTATGCGAACGTATTACTTTTAAACAAACCAAAACTTTTTAAGAGAAAGAGACTGTGCATATCACTTCTTAAGTGAGTTTCTCCTGCTACCAACATCTTCCTCCCAGCCTTCTCTTTAGATGCCTCTCTAGACTCTGGTATTTATTTTAATTAGTAGCAGCTTGGTAGTGACTAATAGTGAGATAGACTTCATACATGCCAGTGAGACAGATTTTTTTTTTTAATGTTTTTTTTCCATAGGGTACATGGGCTTGGTGGAGAGAAAGAGAGAGAGAGAGAGACAGAGAGAGAGAAAGTAAGAAATCAGTCCCCAGGGGGAATGGTCACACCCCAGTCCCTTCTCTTCCATTCTCCTCCTGGGATTTTGGGCACACATGCACACACGCACTTGGTGTGGTTTTCAAGCTGCCAGGTTCGGTACACCGTGGTCAGCCATGGCGGGAGTCCTACATCTTCACTACCGCGCCACCTGCTGGTCCCTAGTGGAACAGATTTCTAATTCACCCTTTCTTGGGATGAATGTTGGGTTCTTAAAAAAGTAAAATTCAGGGAACCAGCAGTTAGCGTAATGGCTATGTCGCTGGACTCCCACGTAGTTGACCGCGGTTCGTGTCCCGGACCCGGTAGCTTAAAACTCACGCCAGGCACGTGTGCGTGCGTGCCCAAGATCCCCAGGGGAGAATGGAGGAGAGGGGATTGCGGCGTGACCATCCCCCCTGGGGGGTGATTTCTCGCTTTCTGTCTCTATGTCTCTCTCTGTCTGTCTGGCGAGCACACACGCCCTACAGTGAAAATCTCTCCAAAAAAAAAAAAAAAAGTAAAATTCAGCATAGGACATCCACCTTAAATTGCTTGTAAAAAAAAAAAAGCGACTTGCTTTATAACATCCGAAGCTAGCTCTCTGCACCTTTCTTAGGCTCCAGTCACTACCGCACTGTCCACCCCACTCCCAAATATATAAAGAAAGCCCTACCTTGGAGGGCTTGTATCCAAACAGCATTGCGACAGCCACTTTAAAGTCCTCTCTGCTTAGATAGCCTTTGTTATCTTCATCACAGGCTTTAAATACCTAAAGAATATTGAATACTTCTAGTTAATAAGATAGAAACTGTTCACTTATTATGGATTGTAGGGCCCACAGATCTGCGCACAGCCGTCATGATGCTCGAGAGTAGCTGGACCTGGGACCAGCAGATAGCTTAATGGTTATGTCCTGTACTCCCATGTAGGCGACTACGGTCCCAGTCCTGGACGTGAGGCTTAAGACTTGCCCGTGTGTGTTCCCAAAATGGGGAGAGGTGAATGGAGAAGGGGTTGTGGCGTGGCTATCCCCCCCTGGGAGTGAATTTTCGCTTCTGCCTGGATCCCACGAGGCAACCCTGGGTCCCAAAATCCCTAGCCCAGTTAGTCTTAAACATGGAACACACACATGAGGGCCCAAGATCCCAGTCTGGAACACTGAAGACAGGGTTTTACTGTCTGCCCAAACCCCGTGGAATGTGCTCCTCTCTCACTGACACGTGCGTGCACTTGCAGTCTATCATGTACAACAAAAACGCAGCAAAAAACGTTTAAAAACTTGGGCCTCAGAAACTTAAAACAGTCCAGTGGTGGGGACTGGAAAGGAAGTTTTACTATCCTAGCTTAAATTCTCAAGAAAACTTAGAGATGGGTTTAATGTATCGCCTCCCCCTCTCCCCAAGTGCTACCCACTGAATCGCTAGGCTGGAAATTAATTCCTTTAGACCAAAATTCTGTCCTGGAATTAGGAAGCCTAGGCGAAGAGGTTGATTTTGAAAGGCGAGAAAAGAAATGCTGATTCGAAGCTATTATTAAAACTGTGGGTGGGAAAAGGTGAGAAGAAACATGGAAGTAGCACGAACACTGGACGGGGAGTCAGGCCTTGCACCTCTAGGGTCTGTCAACAGCCGTGGGCCGTTGCCAGGGCAGCCCAAGTCTTAGCTGCACAACCCGGCTGAGACCCAAGCATGGTGACAAAAGTGTGTCCGGGACCAAGCTAAAGTCTGGGGCTCAGAGTCGCCCTCTGGAGACGTACTTCCACCCACTTCCTGCGTTCCGAGGGGTTGGCTTCCCACGTCCGCCGCCAGACCGCCGCCTGCGAGGAAAACATCGCGGCGGGCAGAGCCTGGGCAGAACCCGACCTGGGAACCTCGGCCGTCGGGTGCCGGAGAGCAGCCAGCCCAGGCAAGCCCCTCGCGGCTCAGGAAGCTGAATGGCGCCGTGCAACTCCATCGCGCCCTCCCATTGGGCGGCCTGAGAGCCACTGACGTTGATCCTGCACTGCTATTGGACAGGAACTTGGTTTACCAATGTGGCCAGCAGGGGCGGGAGGGTCTCCAGGCCCGCCCCCAGGACTTGGCTCCACCCCTGACTCGGCCTTTTAACTCCGTGCGTGCGGCGGTCATCGTGTCCGAGTTCGTTTCTGTCATTTCTCTGCGCACCTTACAGTGCGTTACTTTTGAGTATTTTGAGCTCTAGCGCTGGTAGACTTTGTAAGAGACATAAAGAGTGAGAACGGAGCATAAAAAGAACGAAACGAAACGAGCCAAATCAGGCTGGCACGTTATTGGAGTGGAGCTCTCAGGATAGTTTACTCTTCCCTTTTGTCCTCCCGCAACCCCAGCACCTGGCACTGTGCCTGACACAAAGTGTTGATAGACCATCAATAAAATGACTGAGCCGCACAAAGTGTTGATAGACCATCAATAAAATGAGACATTAGGAAGTTTACACAAACTCATTCCATTCATTCCTCTGGGCGAGTGGGGAGATGCCTGGTTTCAAAGAGACTTCAAGAATAAATAGCAATAACTGTACCCAGCCCAGATAGTATAGCAAAACTTTTTAAAGGCAAAGAATAAGGGAGAAATTCCGTTTTCCAACCAGTTAATCTCAGATCCCTCTCTTGGCTCATCAGTAAGGTCAAAAAGAACACACTATTTCACAAAAGACATAGAAATTGGGGTTCCGAGTCTGGTAGGAACTCGTTTAACTTTATTTTGCGGCGGGATTTAAAGTCTGCGCCGCAGGGGAGCCCACCCGTCCCGCACGGGTCTCCCAGTCCGCAGCTGCCTCTAACCTCCGCTCACTCGCTCCACTTCTGAAAAAACACCGCCAAGTCGTGCCCTGGGAGCCTGAAGCTGTCTACGAGAAATCCAGTAAAGGGGGGAGGTTTTCTAATTAGGTAAGACAGATAGGAACGCCTTTCTGGGTCCCTGATTTAGAAGGCGCCAGGCAAGCAGAGTGGGGAAGACCAGGTCTTCTCCCCGCCTCCGTGGGGAGCTCCGCAGCCGGTCCGGATCCGGCGGACCTTTGGACCCAGCAGCGTCCTGCCGGAAGCGGCAGGGCAGAC